AAGAATAAGCTTTGACTAACTATTGCTTATGAAAAGTCGTAACAAGACAACTAATTATGTGATAACGAATCCTTGTTATGTTCTTATTACAGTATAAATACTCTCCATCTCATCCTTCATTGCCTCAACTCTTGCTTGAACTCGGCTACGGAACTCAGGATCTTTCTCGCACTCCAAAGCGACGTTATCGTTTCGAACAATGGTGAATGTGTTCCGAATGCTCTCGAACTGTGAGTCGATAAAATCCCCAATACTGTCCTGAGTATTTTCCGCATGCTCGTTGAATTCTTTCTTGAAGTCTTTCAATAAGTCGGCGAATAGGCCATCACGTATAACAGCAGCGTTAATGATGGCCTTCTTACGGGCATGGCTGCCTTTGCCTGCTAATTGTGAGTAGACATACAGTGATTAATGTAGATACCGGACATACCACTCTCGCGTCTGGCATCTTCATATGCTTTTTCCATGGCTTTTCCAATGAAAGATGTTTGGTGACTAGATAAGGCATCTGCTCGAAGCGTCCTAAGACACTTGTCAGCTAAGCTACCAGTTGAAGCAAAAAGGTGCCCACCGAAGATCGTCTTGGAGGTCATTCAAAATTCTCCCAATCTCGGCTTCCAGGACGCGTTTCTGTGATAAAAGTGTGGAAATGAGCGAAACCGCCGTGTCGGGGGACTCATCCAGTTCGGTATCTGCGGCTACGTCAGTTGACATATTTCCCTGAGTTTTTCGACTCACCTAGGAATTGAACCGCCCAGCCGAAGAGGTCATCAATTAAGTCAACAGTGTCTTCGGCTTGATGATCTAGGCTAATTCGTACCTTTTCCCACGAAGGGCTCAAATCATTAGTCATTCCTTCGATCATCTCCTCATTCCAGCTCCGTGACCCCACAGCTGCTGTGCAGTGGGTGCCATAGTTGCGGCAAAACGCAGCGTAGGTAGCTTGACTCATCAGCAATATTCATACTATGTGGGTGGTTGACGTACGATGACTCCACTAACGAGAAATAGTTCGTTAGATTGATAACTTATTGGAATCAGCGGTGTATCTACTTACGCAGCTCCAATCGTCGCTCGCACTCCTTGCAGTAGCACTCCATCTACTTACATGGCTACCTAGGTCTGATCAGAATCGACTTTACGTAACAGCATCATAGTACATACCTTGAGGACGATATAACTTCGTGTCAAATTCTGTCTTATATATTTTTGCCACACTGTTCAGTGCGGACCTATGCCCGCGCAGTTCCTGATCGAATGTTAGTCTTCGACCTCATTCAGAATATCGGCAGGTCGTTCGGACCAAATACAGTTTCCTCTCGAGGGTGTCTATAGTGCTTCGGATGCTTTCCTTCCTCTCTGCGCTCAACGACCCCTGTCCCGATTGTACCCAGAGGCCTAATTCTCCGAGAAGCAGTGCAATATCGTTTTGCATGTACTTGCTCACTGCCGAGTACTGGCTCTCCGACACCATCGTCATGCAATGCTCGCGGATGGCTAGAATTCCGCTGAGAATAAGGTAGGGCCTTGCTTTGTCTCTAGGATCGCTGCGATGATCCCAGTAGATTGTATTACTGGCGCAGAACACTTTAAGCAAGTTGCCAGGGACTTCGTGTTTATAACGGTCAATGAGTTTCTTTTCGTTGATCGCGTTACGATTCGTGATGAGAAATCTCTGTAGACTATTTCTGGAATTAGGATGTATATTGCATGGTAGGATGTTAACGAGGCTTACTCAAATTCGTGCTCATTTCGCCGTTTACTACAGTTAGCTGATTAGTATATATCCAAAAACTCTCAGGGAACTAGGTTTACCTGGCCGACCTGAGCTTACTGTGCAATAGATTCAGCTCATGCCGCTCCTCGTCACTCAAGTCGCCATTATCGATATCGTCGAACTCCGATACTTCACACTCAATACAATCAATCTCCGATTCTTCATGGGCAATGATATCGAGCTTTCGCTGGATCTCCTTAGCCTTCTGTCCTTTCCAATCCTTCTGAGCTTCTTGAGGTTTAATGTCCTGCGAGCTAGTGAGTACTTGACCGTCATCAATGCCCGAGGACACTTACATCAGACTTGGTACATATAATGCCAACATTGGACAACCTTGCCTTTTTAGCAAGCTTAAAAACACTTTGTACCCCTTCATCCGTAGTTGCCCGGCCTATATTAGCCACAACGAATATCTCATTACACTTAAGTAGATAGCGCTCCGTGATGTGTCGACGCGCAGAATTTAAATCGCGAAGACCTAATAGGAGCCAGGCTTAGCTAGAATTTATGGTACCATAGACTGTTAGGGGTTATACCAGGAAGATCGACCAGAACGAGCCCTTTGCTTAAGATATGAGCATTAACATAAACCCTATATATTGTCAGCAACTGTACTCTTAGTCGAAGTAGAGCACTGCTTACTTGATCTTCTTGAGCCATGGCCATATAGTTGCCCCTTCTGCTGACTCGTCTTCCGAAGTAAGTCGCATTAGAATAGAAGAACATTCCTTCAGGCTCAGGTCTACTCGTCTCTCAGGGATCACAGATGGGTCAAAGTTCCGCACCCATGATTGAATCGTTGAGAGAGCTTCGGATTCTGTATCTCGTAACAACGTGCTTTGGTTGACAAAAAGACCCCCGAACATAGCTTGGAAGGTGTCTCTGGCAAGGTTAGCCCGTTCTTCCAAGTCCTTTACCTCATGTGACTCGAATGAGTCTTTATTCAGGTGAAAGTGTCTGTAGTCTCGAAGAAGATTTTCAAGTTGAGGCTTAACTTCATCCTCAGAAAACCGCTCTGCTTCAATGGTCAACTCTCTGTCTTCATGATAATGGTATTCCGTGACAACGCAGGTACACGCTGACCCTCCGTTGCTCTATAATGACGTCAATAAGTTAGTAGGTTCTAGAATCTCTTAAGGAATGCTTACAGCTCTGGCCAAGTCGCGACAATCCAAGAGAGAATTGAGTAGGCTGCTTTTGCCTAAGTAAACAGAGTTAGTCTGCATTCTCTGTTTATAATTAGTAATAGTCTCACCAGCACCTGAGTCTCCAACAAATCCCACGGTGCGCGTCGATGGACATTGGAACCCGGCCAGTTCCCCCGCCTGGCGATGAAGACGCTGCATGACGGAATCTGACTCGTTGTGCACCGCGCTGCTTCCTAATACATCGACCAGTTCAGACATCATTCTCTTTGTATCGCGTAAAGCGATTTGGACAGCTGGGATGTTAAAGCGATCATTAGGTGGAGCTTCATTCCTAACGTCATGAACTTCCAGATTATTTTGCGAGCTTGAGCGTCTTCGGTGAGCACTCAACCTCCTTGGTGATGGACTGAGCGATCGTGAGGTCACCGGTTCCAGCAGGGGGCTAGCTCGACCGTCCTTCCCGGTTGCCACTGCCTGCAGGGCGTCAGATACACCGGACATGTCCATGCTTGGTCTGGCAGTTGAGAAGCGCAACCCCTCAAGCTGGGCATCCAGTATGTTAATCGCAGTATCATTTTCGCGATCGAAGGACCTGACTTCACTTGTCGGTGTGGAGATGTGATCAGACGTCGGACCGGACGGGGTGAGAGACAGTGATGGAATCCTAGCAGCAGAGGCCGAAGGTGTCGATACATTGTAGATTGTGTCGCTAGTTGAGCCCTGCTCAATGGACTGTAGAACGGTATCGGGGGAGAAGCGAAATGAGAATTGCCCACGAGGAACCACAGCCCGGGTATGACTTGACTCGGGCTCAGAGGAGGGTGCGGTGAAGCTACCATTACTGCTGTTCTGTGAGCTTTCCAGGGACCCCGAATCTATTCTGCCAGCGCGGGCTGCTTCGGAGTGCTGACGCGGAATCTAGATATATTAGCAGGAAATCATTTAGCAACCTTAATCCTTAAGTACCTTCACTTGAGTCATTGCGAAAGCCAAAGCAACAGCAACTAGTAAGAGTGGATAAGAGATGAGGATGTTGCCTGCTTGTGAGTAGAGAAAGGGAAGCCCTTATACAAACTATAAAATAATGGAATGAAACGAAGTAGTTTTGCACAGTAGCTTTTCTTCATGCAACCCAACTTAAACACAGGACAGGAGGAAACAAATATATAAGAACAAGTCGTCAGAGTCGACGACCATCTAGTACCTCTGTCTGGAATTGTAGGGAAACCAGAAACATCCCGTATTCCCAGACAGTATTTGTCTCAGCGGTCCCCGACTCGGCCAACATAGAACATTCAGTCTCAGCGTTAAAATCCTTCAACTACGCTACCTTGTCACAGATAGGGTCCTTGCAAATATGGAAACATGGTAAGAGAGTACAAATTGAGAATATGACAAGCCCTTCAGCCTGCATGTATTGTGCTATGAGCCAACAAGACGGCGGAGGTGCAAGAGAGCCAAGGAGCAGTCTAGGAAACTAACTCGTGACCCTCGATGGTGCAGGCAAAGTGTAACAACAAAGGCCTTCCATGGCCGACTTTATGCAATACCATCACCAACAGTTGCTTTACGCAGTGAGGCGCAGACAGGTCTGAACGATGCCATTGGTGAATTACCCTGCTGACCCATGGTGATGCCCGTTAGCTGCGACCACTCGACTGCGGGCGCAGGGATGATCGAACCAACATGTCCCCTCTTCTTTTACCATTGGTCAAAGGGATAGTGTGGACTCTCTGTGGAGCCTCTGTACCAACCCAGCTGTCCAATTGCAGAAGCTGCTTTATCCCACGCCGCCGGAGCAGCGCAGGCTGGAGTAAACTTACCTTACGTGTAAATACGTACCTAGTGAGGTGGATAGGTAGGTACGCCTACCCTGCAATTGATTCCCGTCGCAATCAAATTTGGCTTACACGCAATTGAAGAAGGATCTCGCTCGACTGTGAGTCTTCTCTCTGCTCGTGGCTATTGTATCTGTGACTCAATGGGCGATACAATAGGTAGAAGTGGGGGCTCTGAAAAGACTGACGTACGTAGACTATCTTAGCCTTACACCAAAAACAAATAATTTCGTTACAGACAACTTAGTGTAATGGTTAGCACGCTGTAAGTGGTAACATGATGTGTGAAGCATCGGAAGAGTTGGTTCAATTCCAGCAGTTGTCAATTATTTTTCTCTTTTTTTCTTTATATTATTAGTCAATCCTTTTAAAGGCAATCCCAGCTTCCCCTGACCTAGCGCCCCTTGGTCACACAGACCTAACGCGATGCCCTTTAACCCTACTGACCTGACTGTACAGACCGGTCCCTACAGACTTAGCCCCACAGCCTCCAGACTCAAGCCTGATCTATCCGGACCTAACTACCTAAACAATCGAGCCAGCCCCTCCCTCCGTCCCTGTTTGCCTGCGCCGGTTTGCTCGCATGCTTCGAAAACCCGCTTCGGCGGCGCTTTGTTAGCTTGCCGGTAGCGTTGGGGGTTTGCGGCTCTAGGTCCCGGTCTGTATTCTGTACGGCTAGGTCGTCGGTCTATCTCTGCAGCGTTCGACACAAACAACCCTCGTTCCACTCCATTTATACCTCATTACGTTTAAAACGAGGACAGTAGAAATTAATAGGAGACAAGTTTGGTAATTCAATACATTTCAACTTTATTTGCTGCAGGCAGCCGAGAATTGGAACACTGATGCGGCACACTAGGTAGGAAGATGTAGAATCGATTGACTTATTATTCCCCTGGCTACCAGCAGCCAGTACAAACGAGGGTATCTGTTCGAACAGAATGTCCGTCCCGTCTCGTTCAAGCCGTGAGAAACGAAGTTTAGCAACGGTTGCCGACCTGGAAATGGCATTCGGCAATAAAGGACATTAATCTCTATTAGCTATTTTTGTATCTCTTTAGGTACTGCGACGACATCTGGGTTTACGACATGAATAGTTTTTGGCTCACGCTCTGTCTGACCTTCGATCCTTATTGCATTTGATTCTTACACCCTGTAGTCAGAACTTAACGCGGTAGCGTCTTTCGACTGCACATGCAAAACATCATGGCCCGCCCATCCAAGTCCTACGACTACTAAATTAGTAGCTGGGTCAGTGACGACTAGCGAATCCTTGGTGTTATACATATTACTTTTGGAAATATTTTGAAAATTTTGCCTCTTTCTTCGTATTTCATAATATTGTTTTCGTCACAAATGAAGTTCATATACTAGTGCAATATTAGCTACAATAGGAGATATACGAACCTACTCACGCCACATGCTTCAAGCTTCCAACATGGCCCGGTATCAGAACAGGTACAGACTCGATCCTGCATGCTTCATTTTATTAATATATTCGACATAGCTGACGACTAACCGTTTTAGAAGCAGTGCTCGGTCATATGCTATTCCCAGACTTGCTGCTCCCCCTAACCACGCAACGACGTTGAGCGTGGATGTGTTTGACGGTGAATGCCGCCTAAATAAGAGCACTCGATGGACGACGTGCGATGCGGATCCGACTCTTCGATGTGAGTGAATGCGTCTTCTGCCCCCTTGTCTCCTAGGCTACTTTGCTGCTCTCATTTCCTGGTTCTAGGTAGAACTTTCCTCTAAAATTCGCTCTGTACACATAAGCCTACACCTTTTTCTTAAACGGCCTGGAGTCATTGCAAGCTTCTGTCATGGCTGTAACGTAGAGAGCACCTCTAATCAACCCTCCAATATGTGGTCTTTAAGTAGGGTTAAATCGGACCCTCAATCGAGGTCTATCCCAGAACGTGAGAAACCTGAAGTCATTGTCAAAAGATAAGTCATCCTGGCCGGGCGCAGCCTCTAGATAAAATTGCTGCAGGATCTTAGCGACACACAAGCGAAACACAGATTAGGGTATCGCCTAGCTAGGTCAGCCTCTAGAAGCCTGACGGAAAGGCTTGGAGGTCTTCAAGTTATCGTTCTTATATATCTTGTTGAATCTAATTATGATGATTTGGCGACAACCAGCGTTCTTGACGGAGCTTGAGTGGCTCAACGAAGAAACCGAGGCTTCCGGCTACGTCGAAGTAGCTGGTCCGACAGATGATCTAGGTCAATTTAGTATTATTAAGTTGATGCGACTCCTCAAGGGGGCCCGTGGGTTCTGGGACAGAGCAACAAGGCCAACCCCTTGAGGAATATATGTCCCCGTCTATAAAGGCACTAGGACTACCACGACTGACACACCCCTATATTTAACTGCACACGTTTTAATCTCGATTTGAATTAATTATATATAATTTAAAACGAAATACATGATATTCCTATATAAAGAGCCTAATAGCGCGTGCCCAATGAGCGTAAGTCTATTCTGCCCCGAGCAAGGCATTGAAATTGAAGGAATAAAGTCGAAATTGCAAGTGTAACATGCAGGTTCGATAGGGTAGTGGTAACTTGCAACTATAGCACTACTAGGGACTATCCTGTAACGAGATAGGCAAGACTACCACTCTAGCGATCCCAAAAGTGATGTGCTGGCAACCAAGGCAGCTAACGAGCTGTAAGTATAGTTATGATCTGTTGTGGTAAGCTGGACTGCAGGGACCATTCAAATGCCATCAAATATAGCGAGGAGCAAAAAGAATGGGAAAAGTAGATGCTTACCTCGTAGGTAGGCTTCGAGATGTAATAGTACAGTTAGTCTTAAGCTCGCCTCTTGCAATTGAGACAACTGGTGTAGAAAAAGGATATAAACATATAGCCGGAATTATGGAGCCGGATAACTAGCGCATTCCTAAGTCCGAGACTAGCAGGAAGTCGTCAATCAATACCAATCGCGATCAGGGATCTAATCTACTAGCTCGGACTCACTCCACAAGCTTCTTTTACACTAGCTCATGAGTCGCAATACGCGTATTACCAACGCCCCACAACATAGCAGACGATAATGCAGCCCAAGCGTTACGATTCAGAGTAACAATTCGGATACACGTATTTCACACAATAGTGTTAGGATACAATTGATATGTAAAGGGCGTAGTGTGGTCTCCTTAAGGCCGTAACTCCATCTCGACGTCCTATTGCCGTCATCTGCAGAGCGAAGAGTGGCCAGGGCTCTTTAGATCAAACTGTTTTGCCTTGTATATAAAGCGCCAGAGTAGCAGCAATATCTATACCAGTCTCTAGCTTCATTCCATCAACATCCTCAGCACTGCTTTCACAAGCTTGTTAATACGATTCAACGCTATCAAAATGGCTACCGAACATGTTCTCATTGGCGCAGCTGCCAAGATCCCAGTGAACCCGTCCTCTGCTATCCTTTCGTTCACTCCTGTTATCATTCCCAGCCCCAACCGTCCTGCAGAATTGCAGCTTCGTGTGACCGCACCAACGTCCGGGACCACGTTGCCTATAATTGTTCTATCCCACGGTCATGGACGAAGCAATTGGCTATCTTCTCTCCACGGTTACTCCCCCCTCGCCGAATTCTGGGCCAAGCATGGTTTCGTGGTGATCCAGCCGACACACTTGTCCTCCCGAACCCTTAGCCTACCAAGTCCGCCAGGTAACGAGATGTACTGGCGGTCGCGTCCAGAGGACATGATTCAGATTTTGGATCATCTTGATGTCGTCGAGAAAGCCGTACCTGGCCTCAAAGGCCGTCTCGACAAAAGCAAGGTGGCTGGCGTTGGCCACTCCTTCGGTGGCATGACGATGAGTCTCCTCCTCGGCGCGAAAAACACAGACCCGCGTGATGGGGCTGTGTTTAATTCCTTCGACCAACGCATCAAAGCCGGCGTGCTATTCGGTGGCACTGGAAATGGCGGCACGGATATGTCTGAGAATGGGCGTAAATTGCTCCCGTTTTACGGCGTCGACTTCAGCACGATGGTCACACCTACACTAGCTATCGGCGGGGTGGATGATATCAGCCCGCATTTGACTGTCCGCGGAGCGGATTGGCACTGGGATTCGTATACGCATGGCCCGGGTTCGAAGGGCTTGCTGCGGGTAAAGGGCGGGCACCATGGATTTGGTGGCATAAGCGGATGGGATGCTGCAGAGACACAAGACGAGAGTCCGGAGAGGCTCGGCTTTGTTCAGAGGATGTCATTGGCTTATCTAAGAAGTCAACTTTACGAGGGCGACAAGTCATGGGAACAGGCATGTGAGGCAATGGCTGGGCTGGAGGAACTCGGATCTGTTGAGAATAAGGGCTAGTAGAGCTAGGTAGCCCATGAATAGAGCATCAGATTATTAAGCTCTTCTAACGAATGACATAGTATTTCGCATTTCGAATATACTCCGTCCCTCATTTCAAGTGCCCTAAGTGTGGGAGAGCGCTTCGTGACACGGCTTATCATCCAGCGCTACGGTGCGAAGGATGCCCCTTAGATCGCTACTAAAAACACCAGGTAGCAGCTCAAGGACCCTGATGCTCCTCTGAGGCGGGCCTATCGGTTGGTAGATTGATAGCGGAGATGTCCTAGATATTGCAGCTGTAGATTAAACGAAAGAAGAAAAAGCTGAGGGCGCTAAGAAGTAAAACTGGTATGGCTCGAATGGAACGGATGGGGTTATGATCGAGTAGCGGCCGTAGTATGCCGTACGGCAGAAGTTAGTGATAAAAGCGACAAACCTCCTTTTGACAGTTGTGTCAGCATAAATAGCGTAGTATCATGGAAAGTATTACGTTTAACCTTTTAACTTTCTGATAAGTTGGCGGTTACTTGCCAAGGTATTACCACTGACAGTCTGAAAGGCAGATGGATGGATCATGGAACCGGGGCGACCGCCGCACCTTTCTGTGCCGAATGTTCATATTGCTAACATACCTACTGGGTTAAAATTTGCGCGGCTGTTCATAACCGTATGTAACTGATTCTGACTTGGCCATAGCGTGACATTGTTGGCTTTGCCTTACAAAGTTCGTAGTTCAAGTTTAGATACCGGCCGAGCAGGAGGTGCGGTGAGTAAGAGGCGTGGCCTATCATCTAAGTCGCCTCTACAAGCAACGAAAAACCACGATATTTTATCTGAGCAGCCTATCATTTGGATTCAATATCATCGTGTATCAGATCTCACTGGGCATCACATAGCGCAGGAATCCCGCTCAAGTTGAACGAACAAAATTTTTCTTTCTCTATTCCTGAAGTAAGGTACTTTTGTGCAGTTCCAACAGCTGGTTTCTCTCTATTACATCAACAC